CTTAATGAGATCATTATCGGGATTCGAGTTAGAGTGTATATAAAACTCTTAACCCTTAGTGTCTGGCACATTGTAAACATTCAATAAATAATGGTGCAAAAGGCTGTCAAATCTGATGACATAATCTCTGGATTTTAATACTTTAAATACTATATATCAGACTCAACAAATATAAGTTGAGAATCTACCTTCTGCAAGTTAAAATTAATTCTACTAAAACTCTACATTGAAGGCAATTTATTTTTGCATACAATTTGCCTTTTATAGGTAACTTCTACCATATATTTTCAATTGAGGAGAAGCAGAGTAAAAACTCTAAAATTCAAACTTCTGAAGTTTCAAGAGAACTAAATAATAGCATTAATTGGAAGCCAAGAGCAACCTAAATAGCTGACTAAAAGATTACTCGCATAAGCAAACAATTATATATAGAATGAATAAACAAGGTCCTACTATATAGCACAAGGAACTATTTTCAATATCCTGTGATAACCCATAATGGAAAAGAATATGAAAAAGAATGTATATTTATGTATAACTGGATCACTTTGCTATAGAGCAGAAATTAACACAAACTTGTAAATAAACTAAACTTCAATAAAACAAATTTTAAAAATTAGTTATATAAAGCTCTCACTTAGGATCTACTTTTACTGCAATGTTCTCATGTTATAATGTTGAGACAGTGGCTCCTACAGTGTCCAGGCTAGATGTATTCAAATTTCCCATATCCTTTTATTATTGCAAATGAAATCTACTATGGTCTGTAATATGATGTCTATACCTATCCCCTATCAAAATGTAAGACATAAAAAATAGTTATATTTCTTGGACTTATATTCAGAACCTACCTCTTCTCTAATTACCTAGAGGAAAAAGAAAATTCCTTCAACCTATCAAATTTGAAGTAAAAAAACAAAAAAACAAACAACACTATACTAATCCTACCAAAAAAAGAAGCCCCAAACCCACACATATTAAGATTCAAGGAAACTGATTTTTTTTTTTTTTTTTAGGTCAAAGCATACTCCCTTTATTTATTTTTTTTTTTAAGAAAATGGCATGCTTTATTATTTTCCAGAGATAGTAGAGCTTTTTCCATCACAGATGACCCATATTCTCAGTGAGCCATTTTTTTTCCATTTATTTTTATTAGTTGGAGGCTAATTACTTTACATCATTACAGTAGTTTTTGTTATAGATTGAAATGAATTAGCCATGGATTTACATGTATTCCCCATCCCAGTCCCCCCTCCCACCTCCCTCTCCACCCGATCCCTCTGGGTCTTCCCATGCCCGAGCACTTGTCTCATGCACCCAACCTGGGCTGGTGATCTGTTTCACCCTAGATAATATACATGTTTCAATGCTGTTCTCTTGAAACATCCCACCCTCGCCTTCTCCCAGAGTCCACAAGTCTGTTCTATACATCTGAGTCTCTTAGAAACTGATTTTTTTTTAAAGTTCCCTAATCCGTCAGGTTTTTAAGTACGCCAACCATAAGAAAAAATACACAAACTGGAAATGAACCTCACAAATAGATGTAAATAAAGCCACTCTTTAGGTTGCCCATTAATCCACAAGTGGCATATTCATCTTATTTACAGTATTATACCCCCTGCCATGATATTCCATTACAGAGTCACGCTACACACTCCATAGTTAACACTGTAGGAACCATCTCTCTTTAAACACGGTTTTCTCTATATTTCCCTTTAGGCTTGCTCCCAAGTTTTGTTTCTTATTTCTTTTAATCTTTACAATTAAATTTCTTATGCTATTAGATATTCCAAGAAAATGTGGATAAAGTTAAAGAAGTGATGTCCGAGGTATAAAACATAATTAAATTTATGTTCATTCTTCTAGAAATATTTAAACATTTCTGTTTATCATGGTCTTAGTGCTCCACGTGAGCAAGTGCTTCTTACATATATTTATATGTCAATCTTAACTATCAAAAACTTCTATCCTTTCCATTAGAGAATACCTAGGGAGATTTTATATACACATACACACACAGAATAATAGTCATGTTTGTTTGCTTTTTGCTTCATTTGCTTTTGATGAACCTGTTTCTTAATTACTCATTGTCCCAAGCCTCCTCTTTACTGTCTGAAACAGACAAGAGATTCAAAGTCCAACTGTTAATTCATATACCCTCATCCTGTCTTTATAATCATCCAACTGTCTAAAAGCATGCATGCTTACAAAAAAAAATATTTACTGAAGTATAATCACACACAGCCTGGACTTCGAAGGGACATTTAAAAAAAAAAAACTGATAAAACTAATTACCAAGTTTAACCAGGAAAAATAAGTTCTTGGTGTAAAAGGACTGCCAATATATGTTTACACTGTAAATCCTGACACATAGATTCAGATGAGATTTGTATTCCAAAACAATTTCTATTGATAAAACAATTACTAAGGTAAGGTTACCACCTTCAACTGATTGTACCAGACTCATACTAAGGTTACCACACTGATACTAAGTCCAATGACATGAGGTCATCTTCAATCCTTTAAAGACCAGTATTTATAAGGTAGGTGATTATTACTGAGTAATAAGCATTTACATTTGCATAGAGTAGTACAAAAGTAAAAATAAATATCTTCATTCTGAAGATACAAGAAAAAGAAAATGGATCTTTAAAAATTCCATATGTAGGAATATATCCCAAACTAATAACTGAGGGCGATGAGGAATTTAGGAAAGATTATCATAGCATCAGAGATACAACTGGTTCCATACATAAGAACTTTAAATAAGGGAGTATTAGGTGAGCTCCAAAGGACTAGACTAATGAAATTTTCTCTAAAGAAAACCTTACTGTTGAGATTTGGGATTAGTAGAATTTAAGGTGACTTGGCAACTCTGTCTCTGTAAGGAAATTAAAAGAGAGTTTCCTGGTCATTCAGTCAGTTAGAAATTTATGCTATTACCAGTATAAACAAACAAAACAAGATGCTCTCAAAAAAAAAAAAAAACCACATCTATTTTAACAATGATCTTAGGAAATAAATCTTACTGAAAGAGAGCTCTAACAACAACAACAAATATGGCAAGATCATTAGGTCAGACGGAATTCCACAAATGTAGCAAAATGGAAAAATACAATTTAATTTTTATAGAAACTTAGTACAGTCATTTAAATTCATAGCTCATTTGCCTTACAAGAAACTGAAGTCATGACACAAGAATAAAATTTTACATGTGTGAATACTGAGCTCATGAGTACTCAAAGGTTCAAAAGGAGAGCTCGGGTTTCATAAGCTTTATAAGTGATCTATTTACACCATATGACTAAGAACGTACTTATTCATGGAGAGCTTATGAACCTAGGCTTCTGGAACTGTCAAACTAGGAGAAAGGAGAATGAAAAGCCACAAAAATCCATAAAAGTGTAAGAATAAAAATCTCTCTTCTAGATTAAGGAATGTAGAAAAATAATCATGCAAAATTCTAACAAGTGGGCTTTAACATATTAATATACATAGTAGCATAGATCTCTTAGACAATGTAGGGGGGGAAGTTCTAAAGACTATTTAGTATTAAGCGACTGATTCTAAAATACTGATACATTTAAGTCTTACTGAATATTTTCAGGAAAAGCTCATTATTGGTTAAAAAAAAAATCAAGTTTCTGACAGAATTGCAAGAGCAGTACTGAAGATTTTTAGAGGGGGAAAGAAGGTAGGGAGATGGGCACTAGGAGGAAGTAAAGGGCCTTTGTTCTATGAGTTTTGCAAAGAAGTAGAATATCAGGGACTCATTCTGCAACTACAGTATCATAGGGTTGCAATAATGAATTTCCATTAGTTATATATATTATGTTAAAAGTCCTATTAACTATGATAAAAAAAATTAGTTTACACCTAACCTGAATATTTCATACTATAGGCTCTTTTCTGTTAATTCTATACTCAGATGGGTACCTGTTAACTAGTTTTTACATATTATTACTTTAAATGAGCCCCTAAAACAACTGACTATTAATATCAAGAAAACAAATTTATTTTATGTATCTTTGGGAGATATCTGGATTCATTTACATAAACTATATTACTTGCTTTTACAGTAAACCACTAAACTTAAGATACAAATTCTAAAATACTGCAAATCCTGGTTGCCTTGTTTATTTTCCCAAAGTCAAAGCCTGCCAAAGGCAGCCAAGAAAATGGGCGCTGATTTGGTAGAGAAAATCTGGCTCATTAATGTCTTTCGTAGTCTTATACCATACTTCCTAATATTTTAGGGATGATTAACAAGGTTACTGTTTTAGTAAAAGTGAGCGTTAAGTGGATGAACTAGCCTTTAGTTTCAGTTACTACCTGGATTTTTTTCTCCCTCTTCCTCTTGTAGACACCATTCATTGATATTCAATTCTCAATTATATAAATTGAAGTAACACAGTCCCCCACACGAAGATATCAATGGCACAGTGAAAAAAACCAAACAGTGAATTTCCTAATAAACAGAATCAGGAAAGGAACAAAATTTAAACATGCCATAGCTTATGCCTGGATGAGGGTCCTTTCATAAACAATTAAAAATGACAAGTCCTCCAAATCAGAAAACCCATATGCTACTTGCAAGGAAAACTATATTGGAGGGGTGGAATGTTGGGAGGCTGACAAGGTAGACCTTTTTAAGTTTTAATTTCTCTGGTTACTTGATTTTTTTAAAAAATTAAAGGTTAAAAGCCAGAGTGAAATGCTGGAGAAAGTGTACTGGTAATCAAAGTTCTCAATGACTCCTGATAGAATTACAATCTATAAATCATTAATATAGCAACCATATTTGTGACAATACTTTGGAAAGTAGGCAGCCTTTTCTTTCTTTCTTGGAGTTGAAGTAAAATTGGCATGTACCATTATATTAGTTTCAAGTGTATAGGTAGTATTTCTTTAAGTTTGCAAACCAGCTCCACAATGCCTGTATATACTGCAACAAATGTGTGATGTAAAACCCAAAGTTATTTTTTTCATTTCCTCTTCAGGAATTGTGCCTGGCACTGTGCAGCTGTGGTGTTGCCTTCATCACTCCCTCTGTTTCCAGTCTTGCTAATTAAAAGGTTGATCACAGAACAATGGTCTTCTCATTAATTTCAGTGTTCCGATTGGGCAGGATCCCTGCTTACCCCACCTGATCTTTTCACACTGCTGAAGTTAATGTGACAGGAGCCCGAAGATGGATTACCTGCTGCCATATTGCCCATCGCCTCCAATCAGGAGCTATCTGTGTAAACTGATTGTTCTAATTTGCTCTCATTATTTTTACAATATCAGGAGAAAATAACGCACACAGCTCACTGTCAAAGCCATGAAAATCAGCCATTAGTTAAACTCAGACACTGAGTGGCTTTATTAGAGGCACTGCAGTTTATTGATGTAGCTCCATTCAAACAAGGAGGCATTTGCTTCACTAGAAGGAAATGTTTATACTGAAAGTAAATATTTATCGCAATAATACCCACAGCAACATGATATTTTGAAGAATCCTGTACTTATTTCATAAGCTTGGTTTTGACACAAATTAACAACAATGAAGAGTTGGGCTGGCACAAGAAAGTAGATAACATTTAGTATATGTGCTGCTGAAGCGAGCACACAAGAAAGTAGATAACATTTAATACACACACAGTAGCATGAAAATCTATTAACTCAAATATGTGAGCACTCTCTACCTCCTATACCCTGTATAATAAGAAACTATTCTGTGACTACAAATGCTCATCAATCAATAAATAATAGAGGTTCTACTTTGTACAATACAACAACAAATATTTTTCTAAAACAGTAATTTTATGACTTAGGAATCAAAATGATTTTTATAATGATCATCCAGGTATAGGTCTAAACAATAAAAACTGTATTCTTATACAATGTTAGTGTTCAACAAGAAAGATTACTAATCCTAGTATCATAGAAATTCACAATATATTTTCAGAATTAGAAAATAAGAAGCATAATAAAGCCAGCTAAGCAAACAATTATCTGGGTTTTAAACCCTTCATTAAAAGATGTTTCTTAAAGCAGAAGACAGAATTCTGTACAAAAGTTTGATAGTCAATGAGATAATATCTTTAAAAGATTTGTCCTGGGCATAAAGAAAATATATTTTCCTGTTGTAAAGAAAATGCTAAACTCTAGAAGAAAATATATTTTAATTTGGCATTTCTAGGCTTGCCTAGCTAAGAACATTTTGTAAAAATGTTATCTAAATGCTGCCTGAAAGGCACTTGGTGGGGGGAGGTGCTAGAGGAGGGTTTAAATAACAGAAACTGATGCCTTTTAAATAAAGGAATTTAATCCACACATTCTACCCCCCACCCCCCTATTTAGTATTAGAAGGAAACATGGCCTCCTCTTGTTTTCTTTCTATACTAAGACTCCTAGGTAATGTGAAGGCAAGAGTATGCCCTTCTTGCTGCTCCCCTTTTAATGGCCACTTTTCTTTTTCTAAGAAACGTGTGCCACGCTTTTCTCCTTAAAATTCCTGCACTAAAAGACTGCACCATACTGCACTCTGCAAAACGTGCTGATGGCGCCAATTACAAGCCCCCAGCCGAACGCTCCAGCCCCCACCATTCGGGCAGATTTATGCGGACTCTTGCCGACGTTATTACAAGTCAGAGTTTATTGGGAAATTGTTACATTATGCGGAGTGTCTAACAAATTGCTTATGCTGCTATAATTGGATTACAACAGCCGCTTGCTCCCACCGGTAAGATTAGGCAAGTAGGACTCCTGCCGATCTCTGAGCGTTAGCAGTAATTTTATTTGCCTTGCCTCTCTCTTTCCTAACAACATGCCTCTCTCCCTGCCAGCTGTCTGCTGAAAAGGCACAGGCTTGTTCCTTGGCCCTAACAATGCAATTACAGCCCCGCAGATCGCACTGTTTGTGCATTAAGTACAGAGCCAAAACGAGGCGAATTGATCGTTTGACTTTTGGAGAAGCCATGTGATCTCTCGGTGCGGGTGATCCGACATGCATCAGCAGGCAATACTGCAGTCAGTTCTTGATGAAAAACTTCCTTCCTTCCTCCCGCTCTCTCCCAACCTTTCCTTTTTCACTGAGGGAGACACTGGGCTCATCTCATGCTAATCTAGATCAACCCACAAAGACAAACTCAATCTTATTAGCACCCTGGCTAGATAGAAATGTGAATACGTTCTAGCATCTTGAAGTGCCTCAGTCAGATATATCAGTGGTTCCCAACAGTTGAGTCTCTGCTGCTATCTAAAAAATGGTTCATAAACAATTCACTGAAGGGAAAAAGTTTACAGAAACACCATAGTTCAAAAGAACTACAGAAAGCCTAGGTTCTGGCAAATAAAACTGCCTTGGAAAAGCTCTAAGTTCTGTCTATTCAAGGAGCCATCAAGAAATCAGCTCTTGAAACCCCTATCCTGCCTTTCTCCGCAGCTCTGCTCTGCTGAAGATGCTGGTGGCTGATGTGCAGAATCAATGCCTCTGACTTCAGGCTTAAAAACAGTCAGCCTGATTCCCCACTCAGGGCAAAGTTTAACATACTTTGTTTGCAGTTTTCAGTTTCTTTTTCTTGTATGTGTAACAATGAGTCCAGGTAGCAAGTCTTCATGCATTATGGTCTGTTACTCTAGACCATAATGCATGAAGATTCTCACTGGTGTCTTGACTTTTCTTTTTAATTAACTTTCTTGAAATGGTTGAAAATGACTTAGAATTTTACCGATTTTAATAGAGATCAGGATTCCTGTTTACACTTTCTCCTCCAGTGGCATATGCTACTTAGGATTCCTAAAGCTGATTACACAGCAAATGCACAGTCAATCTGCTGATCCATTTTGGTGCCCTGTGTTTGTATTCTTAAATATCATGCACATCTAGAAGGTTACATATTCTCATATCCTTAGTCAGATCAAATACACACAGTCTTTATCTATAATGAGTCCTTGATAATATTATTACTTCAAAGTGAGCTTGGAAAAGTCACTGTACTAGTATTTCTCAGCACTTCTCTGTCACCCCCATTAGCATTCATTAAATTCATATAAATAGTTAAAGACAAAAAATATTACTTCTGACCTTAATTCCTGCCTCTTTAAAACAGCAATGAGCCTAATGTGTAATGCTTATACTTCACTTTATAATACTTACAATATGTATATCTTATACTTTTTCCAATCATATCAGCCTCAGTGATATGGTGAAATCTTAATATATTCTCCACAAAGCTACTCTTTAGACCCAACAGAGGAGCTTGTGCATAGAACAAACCATCTGACATGCTACTTGTGGAACAGTATATTAAAGAAGCCTGTTAACATGTAGTTTAAAACTCAAAAGAAACTCTGAACAGCTGAAATGCCTTATAAATAGCACAGACCCAGAGGAAGTGCAAACGTCTGCATTGTGAATTGTAGATCTTAATTACCGACAATGGCTGGTACAGCAAGTAGCACAGAAAAAAAGTGAAACAGTTGCACTGTTCATGGTTGGCAATAATTCTTCAGGAAAATATTTACTATCAATCAGTTATGAGAAAAGGGACTCTGTGCTCGTAAAACAGCACGTTGCTTCTCATACCAGGACCATTTTGCTTCAGCATAATCTGAATTTAAACAGCTTGTTTCCTGCGGATATAATTTTGGAAATAAATAAAACAAGTCTTCTATCAAAATCTGGAGTGAGTGGAAAGGAACATCACATTTTTCTGTCTCAGTCAGTTGCAAAAAGATTATTAGTCTGAAGTAAAAACAGTAACAAACAACAACTACTATAATATAGAACACATCTACAAAGGCCTGTGAAAGGGGTTTATTTTCTAAATACAAAGAGGCAGAACTTCTCTGACCCAGGCAGAAATCTAGGCAGATGGTTCAAAACAACTCAGTTTTAACTGTATGTTTGTGTGGAAGGGTATATTATGGAAAAGCTTGAAACCAAAAATTTTCAATAATTAAATAAAGTCAACAAAAAGATAAAAATTAATGCTCTGTATTTTTCCAGTTAGCTTTCTTTACCAATTAAAAAACATCACAAAGGCTGACAATTAGGTACAACATGATTATTGATTTTAAAGACTAAGTTGGCAGTCAATAATGACTGTCCATTTAAAGCTACAATAAACACAGAGCTTATCATGTTCCAAACACAAATCTCATGAACTACAGGGCTATAATTAGTAAGAAGGAAGGCTATGGAAGAAATAAAAAACATCTCAATGCCTCCAAATATTACTTGGATTAAGTTATACTATGAAATGACTCTTTCTCCATTTTTATCTTAAAATATTTTAAGACTCATTCTTAGAGATTCAATGATTATGATTAACCCAGAGTAGCTGTAGTTTTGCCTTACAACTTTACTTTCTTGTATCCTAAAGAAGACTAAGGGTCTCTTTTCATAGACCTATTATAAAACATGTACTTTAAGATACCCCTGGCAAAGAAGAGTCGCATACATAGGTTAGGTCAGGGGTCCAAACCTAACAGTATTGCTATATTTAAAGGGACTAACTGGTATTAATGTCTTCTCTAAAACTCATATAAACAGTATTCAATAAGATCTTAGACTTCAATTACCATTTCCACCCAAACCAAAGTCACTCCTATCAGAATTAGTTGTTTTGAACTAGAGGACAAAAATGGTTGATATCACTGTACTATAGCTGCTCTCTATGGAGATGACTGGACATTCAAGGCCACTGTGGAGCACAGTCTGAATCAATAATAGATACCAGTACAAAGCTAAAAACCATAGCCATATATAAAGTACAGCAGGTGAAACTATCCCGTTAAAGGCCAAAGGTGAAGAGCATGAAATAGGGACAAGCTTACAGACCTACAAAAATATTGGTAACTCATTATTTTTCAAAGGGCAAGCAATAAATGAGGCCAAGAGCAGCAGCACAGAATCCTGAGATACATATAAAATATGCAAATAAAAAAGGGAAAACTCTTTTCCTATTCCCATGTTATTGCACCTCACTGGAAACTTGCAAGAAAGAAATTTTTTCAGCTACATGTTTTTATTTGCCTTGACCAACAGATTATTTGGCTCAAATCTGAAGCAATGAAACAAAAGATGAAGATGTGTCTCAATAAAAGGAACCAGAAAGTTAAGTGGGTTCCAACAGGAAATAAAGAACTCATTATTAAACTAGTACATTTAAGGAGACGATGAAAAGATGTAGGTGGCAGAGTAATATTAAAACAAGCAAGAATGGGATGAGAGGGTCACCATCTGGGAGCAACAAAAACAGACTGATGAGCAGCAACGAGCAAACTTATTTCCTCACCCAAGAGCATAGAAGAAATTATGCCATTGTGCCTACATGCACCACTGAAGTAGAGGGTAGGAGCAGGGGGCAAAAAACCATCATACAGACATACACCAACATAACTATGTAGCTTAGAGATCCTGGCTTACAAAGTATTGAGAAAACAAAAGGAACAGATGCTCACTTGGCCAGCTCTCAATGAAACTCATTAAAATCATCACCCTGTCCTTGGATCAGTGCTCATGCCAAGATTTTACCTTGTTTAGCCAGAAGTTACCCACTTGTGATGAAAACTGAGAACACCATGGCCAAAAAATAAAGAGATTATTTTCAAAGGCCCAAATTATTGGTCCCCCATCTCAATGTACAAATGTTGGATACAAAACAGGGTGAATCAGCACTTGATGGCTGTGACTATATGACTGAAAAAAATAAATATGTTAAACTGTAATACTCAGATTTTGCAGTAAATCATTAAGATGTTCTAATTTATGAACTTAACTAACTAATTCTACCTATTTCACCATAATTTTTAATAAATTTTGACATTTCTCAATGGATCATTCTCAAAGGTTATATTTTGCATGATATATTTCCAGTTGATAAAGTAGGTCCTTTACCAACTGAAACTACATGTTTTAAGAAATAAAACAAAATAAAAAATATTGCCGTCCTTCGATTTTTGTAGCAAAGAATGCAGACACATGATACCAAGCCTGGCTCTAATAATAATAGTAAGAGACAGCCTGAATGTATAACATAATAGATTAAATTAGTTAAAGTTGGGAGTGTTGTAAAAGTGACAAATTCCTGAATAGTTATAAAAGGCAGTAATTTTGCAGATATACAGAGTAAAAGTTTGGAAACAGGGCCCATATGGGAATTTCACTTACTTCTGGAATAAGCAAAATGGCTGATATGTAAATTTAGGTCAAAGTTCCGAAGTAATTAGAGATGGAAAACTTGAGGCATAGCTGTTACATTTATTAGACTGTAAGATCTCTAATACCTATGATTATTTTTTGTATCTAGTCTATTGATACAGTACACATTTATACATGAGAAACAAGTAGCTCCATATGCATGATTAAACATACTTGTCCAGTCAGATCAAGACCTCCAAAGCAATATATTTATCAATAGCTACTCAATAAATATTAATAGTGATAGAAAATAACTGGATTTTCTATAGTATATTTCACAATCCTACAATGGTGTACTCTATACTCAATTACATTTTAAAATCAATGGACTTATGAAAATAATTTTATTTTTTTAACACAAATCTGTTCTTTTTTTTGGTCAAAGATCCGTCTAGTCAAAGCTATGGTTTTTCCAGTAGTCATGTATGGATGTGAGAGGTGGACTATAAAGAAAGCTGAGCGCTGAAGAATTGATGCTTTTGAACTGTGGTGTTGGAGAAGACTCTTGAGAGTCCCTTGGACTGCAAGGAGATCCAACCAGTCCATCCTAAAGGAAATCAGTCCTGAATATTCATTGGAAGGACTGATGCTGAAACTGAAATTCCAATATTTTGCCCACCCGATGCAAAGAGCTGACTCATTTGAAAAGACCCTGATGCTGGGAAAGATTAAAGGTAGGAGGAGAAGGGGATGACAGAAGACGAGATGGTTGGATGGCATCACCGACTCGATGGACATGAGTTTGAGCAAGCTCTGGGAGTTGGTGATGGACAGGGAGGCCTAGCATGTTGCAGTCCATGGGGTAGCAAAGAGTTGGACATGACTGAGTGACTGAACTGAACTGAACTGACATGTAAGATGTTTAGTTCCCCAACTAGGGATCGAACCTGTGCCCCCTTCAGTTGAAGCTTGGAGTCTTAAACACTGTACAGCTAGGGACGTCCCACAAAAATCTTATTTGTAATAATCCATAATTAGTGTCAAGCAACAAATGTGAATTAGACTAAAGTGTGACCAGAGCACGCAATCGAAAAATTCTGCTGCAACTGAAGAGATAGAAACTTCAACTTGCAATCTGCTTTGGACATAATGATGCCTGCTGTATTCTTTTTAACAATCCTATAATACTCCTTAATAGCAATACTGAGTAAAGATATCTATAGATAAACCATTGTTATGACGTAACATATATTAATGTGTAATATTACTTACTTTGGCCACACAATTTTCAGTCTTCATAGCAGTGCTTGCTAGACATACTGTCTCTTGATTTAAGCAGAGTCTGGCACAGCTGTTGTATGTCTGCAAAGAGAATTTTTTTGAAATAAGATTAGGTACTGAAATACTGTCACACAGTTTTCAAATTCTGCCCCATTTCTAAAAATCAACACACAAATAGATCCTATGTGTAAATTCTAGATTTATGGGAGCTGAGGGACAAGGCAGACATGGGGAAGTAAAGAAAGCGACAGCCCAAAAGTGCCACTGATGTACCATGAACAAGTGTGTGGGCAGTAGTAACTTCACTGTATATATGAAAGGTAGAGGTGTCAGTTATTCAGAATGGGCAAAGGACTTAAACAGAGATTGTGCTGTGCTAAGTCGGACCCCCATGGACTGTAGCCTACCAGGCTCCTCTGTCCATGGGGATTCTTCAGGCTAGAATACTGGAGTGGGTTGCCATACCCTCCGCCAGGGGATCTTCCCAACCCAGGGATCGAACCTGGGTCTCCTGCATTGCAGGCAGATTCTTTACCACCTGAGCTAGCAGGGAACCAAAATAGAGATTATCCGAGAAGATATACAAATGGCTAAAAAGCACATGAAATGATGCTCAACATGACTGATCATGAGAGGAATGCAAATCAAAACTACAATATGTTACCACCTTATGTCCATTAGGATGGTTACTAATAACAAAACAAAACCAGAAAACGAGTGTTGGTGAAAATGTGGAGAAACTGGAACCCCTGTGCACTGTTAGTGGGAATGCAAAATGGTATAGCCATGGTGGGAAAAAAAAAACAATACAGTAGCGATTCCTCAAAAAATTAAGAACAGAATTACCCTATGATCCAGTAATTCCAATTCTGGGTACATTAAGAACTGAAAGTGGAGTCTTTATGAGATATTTGTACACTCACTTTCATGACAGCATTATCCACAATAGCTAAGATCCACAAATGTCCACTGACAGATAAATGGATAAGCAAAATGTGGTACATAAATACAGTGGAACAGTGTTCAGTCTTGAAAAGAAATTCTGACATATACTATAACACAGATGAAACCTAAGGACACTACACTATGTGAAATAACCCAGTCACAAAAAGACAAATACTGCATGATTCCATTTAGTCAAAATCATAGAGACAAAGTAAAATAGTGGTTTCAACTAAATGGGAGAAGGAGGGAATGGGAAGTTACTGTTTAGTGAGTACAGCATTTCAGTTTTATAAGATGTTAAAAGTTACGGGATGGGTGGTGGTGGCTATTGTACAACAATGTGAATGTATTTAATACCATGAACTGCATATTTAAAGCTAATTAAAGTGGTAAATGTTACATGTATTTTACCGTAATTAAAAAAAAGCAAAAACGCTGGTTAGCAAAGCTTCAACAGTACATGAACCGAGAACTCCCAGATGTCCAAGCTGGATTTAGAAAAGGCAGAGGAACTAGAGATCAAATGGCCAACATCCGTTGGGTCATAGAAAAAAACGAGAGTTCTAGAAAGACATCTACTTCTGCTTTACTGACTATAGCAAAGCTTTTGACTGTGTGGATCATAACAAACTGTGGAATATTCTTAAAGAGATGGGAATACCAGACCATCTTACCTGTCTTCTGAGAAATCTGTATGCAGGTCAAGAAGCAAGTTAGAACAAGACATGGAACAATGGACTGGTTCCAAATAGGGAAAGGAGTATGTCAAGGCTATATATTGTCACCCTGCTTATTTAAACTTATATGCAGAGTACATCATGTGAAATGCCGGGCTGGATGAAGCACAAGCTAGAATCAAGACTGCCGGGAGAAGTATCAATAACCTCAGATATGCAGATGACACCACCCTTATGGCAGAAAGCAAAGAGGAACTGAAAAGCCTCTTGATGAAAGTGATAGAGGATAGTGAAAAAACTGGCTTAAACTCAACATTCAAAAAATGAAGATCATGGCATCTGGTCCCATCATGTCATGGCAAATAGATGCGGAAACAACAGAAACAGTGAGAGACCTTTTCTCTGGGACTCCAAAATCACTGCAGATGGTGACTGCAGCCATGAAACTAAAAGACGCTTGCCCCTTGGAAGAAAAGCTATGACCAACCTAGACAGCATATTAAAAAGCAGAGACAATACTTTGCCGACAAAGGTCCGTCTGGTCAAAGCTACGGTTTTTCCAGCAGTAATGTATGGATGTGAGAGTTGGACCATAAAGAAGGCAGAGCACCAAAGAATTGATGCTTTTCAACTGTGGTGATGGAAAAGATTTTTGAGTCCCCTGGACTGCAAGGAGATCCAACCAGTCCGTCCTAAAGGAAATCAGTCCTGAATATTCATTGGAAGGGCTGATGTTGACGCTGAAACTCCAATACTTCAGCCACCTGATGCGAAGAACTGACTCATTGGAAAAGACTCTGATGCTGGGAAAGATTGAAGGCAGGAGGAGAAGGGGATGACAGAAGATAAGATGGCTGGATGGCATCAGTGACTCAATGAACATGAGTTTGAGCAAGCTCCAAGAGTTGGTGATGGACAGGGAAGCCTGGTGTGCTGCAGTCCATGGGATTGAAAAGAGCTGGACAGGACTGAGTGACGGAACTGAACTGATACTTTATTGTAATATAACTGGCCAATATATTGATTAAAATGTTTCCTTTTAGTCTTATGTTTTTACTGAAAGTACAAGTCAGGGCTCTCAAACATTAGTGCCCATCGCAATCATCGGGAGGACTTGTTAAAACACAGATTGCTGGGCCCCATCCCTGGAGCTTCTGAGAACTTGCATTTTTAACAAATCCCCAGCTGATGTTAACGTTACTGGTCTAAGAACACTCTTTGAGAACTCTTGATATACACATATGTGTTGAAATTAAAGAGAAAATTCTTAAGACACAGTGGATCTCATAACCAATAATAAGAAAATATCAACTTTCTAAAATTCTAGATTTATAGAACAGTTGCAAAATAGATATGAGTTCCTGTACAGCCTTTCCCAGCTTTCCTTTACTTTGAGGTCTTACACAACCAGAGAATATTTACCAAAATAAACCAATTAACCTTGGTACAATACGAAGTTAAGAACTTATTTGACTTTCACCAGTTTTTCCACTAACATTCTTCTTCCGTTCAGGATCTAACTCAAGATCCCATACTGCATTTAGTTGCCATGTATCCTTAGTCTTCTCTAATCTGTGACAATTTTCCCATCTTTGCTTGTCTTTCATGATTCTGACACTGCTGAAGAGTACTGATTAATCTATAGAATGTCCCTCAATTTGGGTTTGTCTCATGTTTCCTCAAGATCAGATTGAGGTTGTAGATTATTGGGAAGGAGACCACAGACGTGAGGTGCTTTTCTCAATGCACCATGTCAGGAGGTACACTGCTGAGTATTCAGAAATTGACTGACATTAACCTTGACCAATTGCCTAAGATTGTGTCTAGCAAGATTCTCTATTATTAGCTAAATATTTTTCCTTTAGAAATTACTAAATATACTGAGGAAAATACTTTAAGACTATGCAAATATTCTGATTCTGCTTCAACTTTTACATGCCAGTTTTAGCATACTGTTGGATTGTGCCTATGGTCATTTTTATTGTTGTGTCCTAATGGTTATTTTTTAATTTCTCTTTCCTTCTACGTTAATTAATTGGGATTCTTCTGAAGGGAGAGCTATGAGTTCTTCCATTTGTCTGCTTATTCATTTATGTACTTATTTATATTAGCAATGGACACAGATATTTTAAATAATTCATTTTTGGTCAACTATCATTCTTTGGAAAAGAACAGATAAGAATAAAATTTAAGGAAATAGAAAAAATAACATTATAAATTTGAGTTTCCATTTAAACAAGTTAAATTTTTTGAAATTTATCCACTTAATTGTTTTATTCTTATATTATTTAAGTTGAAATTATTTCAAACACATATTTTAAAAGAATAAACTGGATCATTTGACATTAGTGTACAGGTGCTATTGGCACATGTACATCTGGACTCAGGGTTCAGTACTTCTTTCACAAATGCTAATATTTGTGAAACTATTCACAATTATTCATGTACAGACAATAGTACACAAACTATTCATGTACAGACAATACAATTTTTAAACTGTGTTCTTAAGACATTTATGAAGCAACTGGTGTATAATAAATAAAATAAAACTTTAAGCCAAAGAGTATTAGTTCCAATAATGGCAGAGATGTTTGTTTATATTAAATTAACTCTTCTCAGATAACAATTATAAACCATGGAAAAAATATTTAAAAAAAACAAAGGCACTACAGGTTGACCAAAAGTAGGCGGAAACTGGGGGGAGAAGAAGACTGAGAAAGAGGAGAGGAGAATCACACTTAGTAATATCCATGTTTACGTGCTTTTTCCATGAGGGTACTCACAGGCTATTTGATGCAGGATGGCTAAAAATTCAATTAGAAAGACAGTCTGTTGGCTTGGGGAGCTCAGGGCAGCCACAGTGGCTTGAAATTGAGACAAAAAATAGAAAACAGGAAGAGCCAGCCCTTCCTCTGGCAGGGAGGAAGCATCAAAACATGCATATAAATTTCTCTCAAATCTACGGCTAACCTTCAAATTCTACTTACATGAATGAGAGACTCCAAATATTCCAAAATAAAGTAATAGCTAGAAGACTGAAAGATATGAGAAGAGATTTCAGCTGCTGCGCATGAGGAGACACAGGGTTTTGAATTTGAGTTTAGAGGAGTTTCATAAGCAACTCAAACTTTCTATTGAAAGCTTAGAAAGACACTGCATTCAGACTAAAGGTAAGTCTTTAGGACTAAGGGATATGCCTCAGGACTAAGGGCAAAACCAAAACACACCTGCCCTAACAAACAAAAAACCAAGACTCTTATGAAGTCACAGTGATCAGCCAGTAAGATAAACAGAGGAAGATAAAAGAAACCAGAGTCTCCACAATGTATTGTTTATAATGTCCACTAAACAATAAAAACTACTAGACGTGAGAAGAAAAGGGACCCACAATAAAGAGAAAAAGAAATCAACAGAAAATGACCACGAGATGATCTAGTTATGGGAATCAGTTCATAAAGG